AGCAACATTGTATACAACTCTTAATGTGTTCCAGCAAACATTTGTAAAACTGCACCTGTCTCATTACACAGTCTCCTGTAGTACCTTCTCTCCTTTGGTTCTAAGTCCAGAAATAAAGGAAATAAAAAGATGTGGTCTTTACACCAGGTTGGAATGGCAGATTTCCTTCTCTAAAGTGTAACAGTGAACCAAATGGATTTTGATAACTCTCAATATTGGATGCTCTTAGGCTTGCTGTTAATGTCAGATTTTTTAAAAATTGAACTTAAATTCCACCATCCACTATACTGGAAGTTGAACATGTTCTCAGAACATTAGGGCAGGATTCTAACGTGACATCACCATGATACCACCTCCTTCCCAAGCATATTATCTAAATAATGAGATATTGCAGAACTCTAAGGTGCAGAAGGATCTCAGTGTTCTAACACATGAATTGCAAAAGGCTAGTTTTCAAGTATAGCAAGGAATTAGGAAAGCAATTAAAATGTTATAATTTTCATTGTGAGGTGAATTGAATTGAATTGAAGTGAAGTATCAGCACAGAGGCTGTTATCCTGTCACCAAGTCGCCCTTTATTTACTCATACACGATACACTGGCTGTGGCCAGTCAGCTCAGACTCAGTCCTCAACTGAGGAGATTCTAATCTCCTGGTTATATTGGTCAGCCAAGGCTTTCCTGATTGGTCCAGGTTAATAACCCCAGTTAAGAACGTCATAGTCAACAAGGTCCACCTGGTTGCATCCCACCCCCATTAAGTCAGGGGATGTAGGCCTAGTCTTCTGCTGGTAGCTTCACTTGCAATGTTTTTGCCCCAGATCTGGCTCCTCTGACTTGGACTGAGACACAGGCAGCGTGTACTGGATCGTGGTCCATCTCTCGCATCCAGAATGTCTCAGGAAATTTTCCTCCTCTTCTTCCTGTGGTAACGATATTGAAGCTAAATCTATTTTGGACTCTAAGGTTCTGTCAACACTAGACAGGGGGAGCATCTGCAGTTTCTGGCAGGCCTTCCGGGTGTTCCAAGGCGCAAGGTATGTTTTGCTCCTGCTCCCGTTTGTGAGGTAACAGTGTTATAAAATGGATATTGACCCTCCTCCCCCCACGATAACTAAAACTGAAACACCTAGAGAGGCTCTCTTCACCCTATAATCTGTAAAAAGAAGTATGAAAAGTGATATAACCTGCCTGTCACCATCAAGTTGTTATAAAGGGGTGGTTAAATGAAATTAACTCCTTTCACTCACTTTCTAATCAACAAGTAACAATTTATTTATCTAACTGTAACAATGAACAAATTAACTGAACTGTTAACAAACTGAACAATTCCCCCTTGGCTACTAATTATTCCTGAGTAAAACCTAAAACTCTAATGGTATGCTGTTCTAATAAATACAGTCCCACTTATATAATCCAAAATAATATAAGAAATTAATTAAAACTTAGTCTCTCAAAATTAAAGCCAAGATATCTCTTCTGGAATGTTCTGTGCCTTCTCTGCTGTTCTTTGGTCAGAAATGTCTTTCTTCATCAAATTCTTGTGTTAGGAGCACCTCTCTCCATCAAATTCTTGTGTCAGGAATTTTCCAAGGAGTGCTGCTATACCTTTGTAGGATGATGGTTTTCTGAGAGCTTAGAGAATTCTGCAAGAGCCAGTGATTTTCTCTTTAGAGCTGACGGTTGTTAACTCTATCAGATGGCAGTTGCTCTCACACCAATTTTCAAATGCCCTCTTCTTTTATACCCTCGATGGCCTATCAACTTCTGACAAAAGGGTTGATCCTAGCTTGTCAAAACCATCAGATTTAAATTTAATTGGTTTTCTAAGTCTCTAAGTGACTGGTTGTCCAACTACTGCCTAGGTTGCTAACCACATAGTCTTTTGATACAATATTTCAATTTCAGGAGCTCTCTGTGCATCTGCACTTTTTCTTAATCTCCAAGCATCAAAAAAAATGTCACTTTTTAAAGGGACCATGCAGTCTTTCCTCCTATCATTTTACAAACAAATTCTAATGTCATGCCTTCCAATCCACATGTACTCTACCCAACCTCGTAACAACTCTCCCCTGAAGAAAAAAATGAACAATCATGAAGAAAAGATGGCTTCATTTTTTTTCTGTAAATCTTAATGTCACTATTACTAAATCCATAGGTCACTAATCTATAGTTACACATTTCACACTAAATCCATATACATACATAACCTTGAACACGACGGTTTTATCTTATATGCATATTTTTCTTTTAAACCCGTGATAACACATCTGCAATAACATTTTCACAGCCCACAATATGTACAGTCTGTAAATTAAATGCTTGTAACATACAACTCCAACAAAATAGCCCGGTGTTCTAATCTTTAAATCTTTCCAAAAATGTCAAAGTGTTGTGATCAGTGTACATGACTGTTTCTGATACATTGTTTGCAACATAAACATTAAAATGTTGTAAGGCTAGTCCCACAGCTACCTAGAATTCAAGCCCACCGACTCCCACAGCTACCTAGAATACTCCTCCTCCCACCCACCTTCCTGCAAAAATGCTATCCCCTATTCCCAATTCCTTCGCCTCCGCCGCATCTGCTCCCAGGATGAGGCATTCCACTCCCGTACATCTCAGTTGTCCTCGTTTTTCAAGGACCGTAACTTCCCCTCCTCAGTGGTCGAGAACGCCCTCAACCGTGTCTCCCACATCTCCCGCACCTCATCCCTCACACCCCGTCCATGCAATAAAAACCAAAAAAGAATCCCCCTCGTCCTCACGTACCACCCCACCAACCTCCGGATCCAACGCATCATCCTCCGACAATTCCGCCATCTGCAATCCGACCCCACCACCAAAGACATCTTTCCCTCCCCACCTTTATCTGCTTTCCGGAGGGACAACTCTCTCCGTGACTCCCTTGTCCGCTCCACACTCCCCTCCAGCTCCACCACACCCGGCACTTTTCCCTGCAACCGCAGGAAGTGCTACACCTGCCCCCATACCTCCTCCCTCACCCCCATCCCAGGCCCCAAGAAGACTTTCCACATCAAGCAGATGTTCACCTGCACATCTGCCAATGTGGTATACTGCATCCGCTGTACCCGGTGTGGCTTCCTCTACATCGGGGAAACCAAGCGGAGACTCGGGGACCGCTTTGCAGAACACTTACGCTCGGTTCGCAACAAACAACTGCACCTCCCGGTCGCGAACCATTTCAACTCCC